ATGTGTGAAGCCGCGAATGCTGAAACGCGGATAGGCGGGGGCTCACTGTATTTCCATTTTTTCTTTTGTTCTTTTATTGTATCTTTTTTCTTTTTCTTGTCTTTCTCTTCCTTCATTCATTTTTATCTGTTGTTTTTCTTTTCTTATTTATTTACTTCTTTCTTTATCTTTTCTTTTTCATTCATTCATTTTCGTCATTTTTCTGTTTTCTGTCCATCTTGCGCGTTCATTGTCTTTTCATTTTTTCATTCATTTTCTTAAAAATTCCTTAGAAATTAATTTAACTTACGTCATTTCCTTTTTCTTTTGTTCCTTCTCTCTATTTAAAATCTGTCCATTCTTTCTAATTCGTCTTTCTTAACAAGAACCTCTTCATTAGTCCTTTGCATTCCTTTTCTTTTTTCTTTCTTCTTTCATTGAATTTTGTCTATTTTTCTTTTGCTGCTAATTTCTTTCGTTATCTTTTCTTTTTTTATTTTAATTTAATTTGTTCTTTTTATCTCTTCTTTTGTTTTTTAATTCAATTCTTTTTCAGTTTTTAATACTTTTTATACTTATCCTTTGTTCATCATTTTTACAGACATGAATTTTTATCTTTTCTTATTTCAACATTTTTTTTTTACATTTTCTAGATTTTTCCTTAATTTTTTCCTTGCTCTCTTTTTTCTTTTTCTTTTGCCGTCTTTCATTTTTTATTTGCTATTTCTCTCCTTCTTTCTTATCCACCTTGTTTTTCTATTTCAATTTTTACTCTTATCAATTTTTCTTTTCCTCTTTCTTTCTTTTTCTTACTTATCAATCATTTTCCTTCTATCTTTTAACACCTTTTCCTCCTTTCCTTTCTTTCATTGTTGTTTTCATTTTCTAAATTATTCTTTCTTTCTTTTTCTTTTTCTCGCTTATCAATTTTTTTCCTTCTTTCTTTTACGTACTTGTCCTTCCTTCCTTCCTTCCTTCCTTCCTTCCTTCCTTCCTATTTTCTAAATTATACACTCTTTTTTCTTTCTTTGCTATTTCGCTCTTTCTTTCTTATCCATCTTTCTTTCCCATTACACTTTTCTCTCTTGTCAATTTTCATTCTTTCATATAATCGTTTGTCAATCATTTCTCCTTCTTTCTTTTACATTCTTTTCTTACTTCCTTGTTTATATTTTCAAATTATGTTGTCTATCTTTCTTTCTTTGTTTTTTTCTGCTATTTTTCTAACCTATGTTTCTGTTCAATTTGATTTTTTTCGGTATCTGTCTATATTTCTTAGATGACGTATTATGTACACTATTTACATTATCCGGACTAATGTCCGCATTTTGTCACCATATTTATTACAACGTTTCGGCTGTTGTACTCTCCGGACTTCTTCAGGTGGTTGAAATGTCAAACTGAGCCCTTTATTTCGCTCACTGGGGTAGACAGTTCTAGTTCCACATGTCATGTTTAATGGATAGCAGTTATCTCGTGTTAATGTCCCTCTGAAAGTTCTCCACTACCTTAACCAGGTATTAAACTCACACTCTTTGAGTTCTGTCACTGGATCTAACCAACGACTTTAACCACTGTGCAATGTGTCCTTGATTTTTTCTCTTATAAATTTTGTTTCACATTTTTCCATCTTCCTTTCTTTCTATTATTTCCCCACCTTTCTTTTACAATTTTCTTTCTTTTCTTTTCTTTTCTTTCTTTCTTTCTTTCTTTCTTTCTTTCTTTCTTTCTTTTGCTTGTCAATCTATTTTCCTTTTTTTTACATCATTTTCCTTCCTTTCGTTTTTTGCCACCATTTCCTAAATTATCTTTTCTTTTCTTTCTTTCTTTCTTTCTTTCTTTCTTTCTTTCTTTCTTTCTCTTGCTTGTCAATCATTTTTCCTTCTTTCTTTTACATCATTTTCCTTCCTTTATTTTTGTCACCATTTCCTAAATTTTCTTTCTTTCTTTCTTTCTTTCTTTTGCTTGTCAATCATTTTTCCTTCTTTCTTTCACATCATTTTCCTTCCTTTCTTTTACATCATTTTCCTTCCTTTCTTTTACATCATTTTCCTTCCTTTCTTTTACATCATTTTCCTTCCTTTCTTTTACATCATTTTCCTTCCTTTCTTTTACATCATTTTCCTTCCTTTCTTTTACATCATTTTTTCTTTTTTCATTTTTTCTTAAATTATCTTTTCTCTCTCTATCTCTCTCTCTCTTTCTTTCTTTCTTTTGCTTGCAAATCATTTTTCCATCTTTCTTTCACATCATTTTCCTTCCTTTCTTTTTCTTAAATTATCTTTCCTTTCTTTCTTTCTAATTGTTTTCATGAATTCGTAGTTTTTTCTTTTCTCCCGTTTTTTTCCATATGCTTTTTATGTTCCTTTTCACTCTTTTCATTCTTTTTAACCATTTTACTGTTTAACTGTCATTGACATAGATTTCAAATTTACTCCATTCGTTGCTCTTTGAATTCAGGATTCGTCTTCAATTGCTGGCAATCCCTCCAAGACACGTTGTGATCTAAGGAAATATATCTTTTCTTATTTAACATGGTTTACGTTCAACAATCGCTCCTATCAGTGTGAAATGCCATTGTTTCGCTTGAAGCTTCCTAAAGAGTTAGCTCCTTGCAAGATAGACATCGGATTGGTCGAAATGTGCCTATTGTTTTAACTTTTGACGGCATCAGAAGTATTTGGGTTTAAGTTAACTTCTTTCAAGAATTCTTCTTTTGATTTTATTGTCAGGTGTCATATCAATGGGAATTTTCTTTTGAAATTGGCAAAATTTGCGTCTTATTGTTTATTGACTTAAACACTGGAGACAGAAGAGAACATGCAATATTATCCAAATTTAGACGTTTTCATATTGAGAAAAGTAAAAGAAAACTTAGTAAAAAAATGTAGTTTATAGCGTACAATTTTTTCAAGAAACTGTATTCGTTTCCGCTTGTTTTGAAGTAAAAGACTGCGTAATAAACAAGTTTTATTGTCTTCCACCAAATCTAATGGAAATCTCGCGAGTGATGTGAGAAAAGAAGGAAATATGACTTCAATTGATACAACAAGAACAGCAGTCAAATAAAAAGGACAAAGGCGAGAAAGGAAGAAAGAAAGAAAGGAAGAAAGGAAGAAAGGAAGAAAGGAAGAAAGAAAGAAAGAAAGAAAGAAAGAACAAACACGCGGGAGTAATGGGAGAAAAGGAGGAAATATGATTTCAATTGATAAAGCAAGAAGAGCCATAAAAAAAAATAAAAAGTACAAAGGCAAGAAAGAAAGGATGAAAGAAAACAGAAAGAATGAAAGAAAGAAAGAATAAAGAAAAAGAAAGAAAAAGAAAGAAAGAAAAAGAAAGAATGAAAAAATAAATAAATAAATAAATAAATGATGAAATGAAAAGAAATGATGGAATGAAAAGAAAGAAAGAATAGAAGAAAGAAAGAAAAAGGAAAAAGAAAGAAAAAGAATGAAAGAAAGAAAACAAGAAAGAAAGAAAGAAAGAAAGAAATGATGGAATGAAAAGAAAGAAAGAAAGAAAGAAGAAAGTAAAACTGCTAGAAAGAAAGTTAGAAAGACAAACTGGAAGAAAGAAAGAAAGAACGGAAGAAAGAAGCAAGTGAATATAGTAGAATAATAAAGGCAAATGTAAAAGAAAAGGAATAAATTTGGAGGAAGAAGGAAATAAAGAAGCAAACAATACAATAATAAAAACAAAAATGCAGAAAGAATAAGTGTGGAGAAAAAACGAATGAATGAACGATCGAATGAATGAACGAATGAATGAAGGAACGACTGAACAAATAAAAAAAAGAAAATAACAAGAAACACGTTATAAAAATCCAGACGAGAATCAAAAGGAAGAAGTGAGCGAAAAGAAAGAAATGATTGAGTATGATAAGGAAGATGAAAAAAAGCAGAAGGAATAAGTGTGGAGAAAGAAAGAAAGAGAGAGAGAGAGAGAGAGAGAGAGAGAGAGAGAGAAGTAAGCAATACGGAATCAACACCAAGACAAAAACTAGGTACCTACAAAAAATAAAGATAAACAAACAATAACTGAGGTTTGAAATGAATTAAAAAATGCAAAAATAAATTTTACCTGAAACTTTTATTTCAGTTTTAATTTCAAGCTAATATATTAAATTTAATATTTCCAATAAGCAACGTTCAGCCATTCCTTATGTATTTTTAAAGTTTTATCATATTAACTAGGTAACTCCACAGACACACACAAAAAAGGAAAAAAAAAAAACGATACATGAGGTTTAAAATGAAAAATGAAAAATCTCTCTTGAAGCTTTTATTTTAGTTTCAATTTCAAGCTAATAAATTAACAGATCATGACATCTATCAGAGGGATGAAATTTAAAATTTTAATATTGCATTATTCCAAAGTTTTAACACCTCAGCAGATAGCTATTAATGTTAAAAACTAAGCACAAATAGTTATTAATTACAACAAATAGTAATTAATGTATAATATTATCTAAAAAATAACCATAAATACGTAAAAAATACCATTTAAAAAAGCAATTAAAAAATTTTCAGGTTAGATAATATTATAGTTTTATCACATTTTTTATTTTACGATTGGGAACAACTTTTGGGTAACTGAGTAAGTGTTTGAAAAAAAAAATTGACGATTTATATTCTCCTGCTTTTAACTGATATAAAAATAAGCGGATGAATTTCATAAAATTAAGTGAGTGAATGGGTGGAGGCGGTGCAGTTACGGATGTAAAAATAATTTTACAAGCATTTTTGGAAAAGAAATATTTCAAAAATAAATTCATTTATTTGTCAATAAGTCCTGAAATTCATTAAAATCCGACAATTATTTGATTTTTGCATGAATTTACAAAACAATGTGTTTTTACCAAATAAAAACCTAAATTCCGCACAGTAATCTTTGGCTGACTGCTGAAGTAAGAAAAACAAAATGTTTATCCTAAATTTCCAACATTTTAGAAAGGATTGAAAAATGTAATAAAATAATAATAATGTCTTTCCTCGTAATAACATAAAGATTTTAGCGACAAAACTTTGTAAAGTTTGGAGCCTTTTTTCATTATGTTACTCTCTTTTTTCAACGAATTAATGGAGGTACCCATAAAAAAGTAATAAGTGTGAAGAAAGAAAGAAAGAAAAGAATGAGAAAGAGAATGAATGAATGAAAGAAGGAAAATAGAAAGAATCAACCGATATATTATAAAAATTAAGACAAAAAAAAAACAAAATATATAAGTGTAGAAAAAGAAAGAAAGAAAGAAAGGAAACGAAACTAAGAAGGAAAAAGAATAAGAGGGGAGAAATGCACCATAGAAAGAAAAAAAGAAAGAAAGAAAAGAAAAGATAATTTAGGAAATGGTGACAAAAAGAAAGGAAGGAAAATGATGTAAAAGAAAGAAGGAAAAATGATTGACAAGCAAGAGAAAGAAAAAAAGAAAGAAAGAAACAAACAAATCTTACAGATAGGCAAAGAAAGAAAGAAAGAAAGAAGAAAAGAAAAGATAATTTAGGAAATGTTGGCAAAAAAAGAAAGAAAGGAAAATGATGCAAAAAAATGGAAAAATGATTGACAATCAAAAGAAAGAAAGAAAGAAAGAAAGAAAGAAAGAAAGTAGAATTAAAGAAATATGTAATAGTGAAAATAAAGGAAAGATATACCAATGACAGAAAGAAAGAAAGAAAGAAAGAAAGAAAGAATGGATGAATGAATGAATAAATTTAGCAAATGATAACAAACACTGAATGAAAGAAAGAAAAGAAAAAGAATGAATTTAAAAAAAAACATAAGGATTGGAAAAAGAAACAAAACAGAAAGAGGACGAAAAATTTTGAAAAGATAAAATAGCAAGAAAATGAAGAATGAAAGAAAAAATAAATAAAAAATGGCAGATAAACATGGGGAGAAAGAACGAAGAAAAGTGAAATACAGAAAATATGTTTAAACAAAAACAGATATAACAACTAAAAAAGAAAGCAATACATCATTAAAAAGAAAAGAAAAAAAGAATGAATTTG